TCCCTCTCTCACTATTCCTTTCTCTCCCCTCTCTGTTCCCTTCACTCTTTCTTTTCTGTTTAAAACCTATTTCTCTCTACTCACACTACACTCCCCGCACCCCCATTCCCGGCCTCTGCGCCCCGGGCTAAGGCGGCCTAAAGTTGTGGACACTTGGGGTGTCGTGCGGGGGGTGCGCGTCCGTATGTGTGTCTGTGTGTCCGTCCCCGCCCTCACCCCCCTCCTTCGCCCTTCCCCAAATCTCGGGTCTGACGTCGCGCCCTCTTATTCGACTTTTCCTTGCGTCTCCTTCGCGAGTCACCAATCGCCTGGGCGCCCTGCAGGCGAGGCCGCCCACCCCCGCGGATACTGCGCGCAGGGCGGGGCGGGGCGGGGCGGGGCGGGGCGGGAGCCCGGGCTTTGCTAGTCCCTTCCCGCCCCCCCTGGCCCGCGGCGGGAGGGGGGGGGGCGAGAGGCGCCGGGACCGGGGTTAGTACGGGGTCAGCTCGCCCCTCCCGCTTTCCCGCCTCTCGGTACCTCTACCCCCACCCCAGCGCGCGGGGCCTGGGTCGGGACCAGACCTTGGACCAGGCGCTGGGGCTTTACTCTGCCCCGGTCCGCTTTCCAGCTCACACCTCTGGATTCCCGGCCACTCTCAGGCGTAGGGAGGGAGCTTGAAGAGTGCGTGAGGGATCGAGGGTGCGTTCTAAGGGAGTCTTCAAGGACCGTCTCTATGCCCAGGGAGGCGAAGCAGCCCCCTGCTCAATAGGACCAAATCCTGCAGTTAACCACGTTAACGCCGCACGGGTGCAGGGTGCAGAATCCCGTTTTAGGAATGGCGGGGGGAGGGGTGGTGCCGAAGGGTGGACGCCCCGGGAATCCTGGGGAGCTACGTCAGGAAAGTGGAGGCTGCCCGTGCCCTAAGCTGGCGTGGGATGGGGGAGGAGCAGGGAGCCAGGTGGCGGAGGCTCCAGGAACTTTCGGGGAGCGCTTGGAGAAGTTTGTATATTGGAATTTTCGGTCCGTAGAGATTCTTCGTTTCACTCCTCCTTGTCCTGCTCCCGGGTCTCTGCGCCAACCTGTTTTCTTTTGGCAGGTATACTCCCTCCCGCTCGGGTGGGGATGGGAGGCAAGACTTTTAGTTTTATAGTGGGATATTTCCTAAACCAAACCTGAAATCCCAGTAGCCGGGCGCCCACCTTCACGGATTAGGGCGTGCAGCCTAGAGCAGGATTGAAATTCCCGGTATTGCGGCGGCTTCGGGCTAAACGCTTTAGGCCGATGCGGCGACCTACGCACAGGCCAGGCCTGCAGCAGGAGGGCTCCGGGGACAGCACCCGGGGCGGTAACTGCCTTGGAGTTGCCAGTCCCGGCTCGGAGGCGGAAACAGGCCGCCGCGGGCTGATTGATAGAGGAATCGAATCCGAATTCCACCAGAGTGGAGGGATGGTAGAATCTTGGCCCCGGCTCTCTCTGGTCTCAGCAACAACAGGGAACCCCAGTGGGGAGTCCCGCGGGCACCCAGTTTTGACCCCACCCCACTTCCCGCCTCTTTCTACCAGTCTTCGCACGGGTCGGCGGCTCCAGTAGGTGTGAAGGCCGAGAAAACTGGGGGGAACGCAAGGGAAAGTTTGGGGGCAGCTAGGTTTGGGGTTCGATTGGGGAAACTGAGGGGCGGCCCTCTCAAATTGGGCCAGACTTGCTTCCCTAATCTCCTCCCCGCCTGCGTATGCTTGGTGCCGCGTGTTGGCCTTAACTGGAGTCTCCCCAGGAGAGGAGATATAAGGGGAAGCTCTGGCTTTGAAATGTTTTCCCGGCGCCTGATTTCGTTTTCAGTTAGACCTATCAGCGAAGTGGCATAGGGAATCCTGGGCTCACCTTCTCGCGAAAAATCTCAGGGTTACAAAATTGAGAGTAACCTTATTGCCTGGAGCGTTTCCTAAGTGTCAGACCCGGAGCCTCGACGTCCCTGGAAACCTAGAGTTTGCACAAAGTAGTGGCGCCAGACCAGCGAGGAGACAAGAGCGAGATTCTGAGGCGGGGAAACTGGGGCTGCGCTGGGCCGCTATTTAACTCAGCTCTTCCAGAAGGAAAAGAGAGAACAATGAGCCCCGGAGATGATGCTTCTGTCCGCCTTAACCAGCTATCGACCTGGCTGTGTCGGGCTGCGGGAGGCGGGAAAGAAGCCAGGGAAGAAGGGGCGAGGCTGTTCTCAGTGACTTAGCCACGCCGGGCCGGGGCACCCGTGGCCCGGAAGGTGAACCTCTAACCCAGATAAGGACCCAAGAACCTCTATTATTTAGGTACCTCCAAGCGCCCCAGGTCTCGAGCAGAATCGGTCTCCCCGCTACCCTAGTCTCCAGATAAGATCAGCCCTGCCATGGCCCGGGCGATCCGCGCCCCACGTCGGGACGCAGAGTCCTAGGCAGCCGAGCCCCGACGTGGCGCTGGCTCCCCAACTTCACCAGGCCGGTGGAACCCGGCTCCGAACTGAACTCACGGGTCCAAGGACAGCCGAGCCTTTTCCAGGGATTTTTAATCCACGAGATGGGGTCAAAGTGACACACTCGCACAGGGAGGAAAAGCAGGTGCACGGGAAGTTGATTTGGGAAAGGCATGCGCGCAAAAACGCGCCGCGCGCAAACCCTTCTCCATCATCTCGCTTTCTTCCAGTGTTCCCAGAGCACAAAGCGCTTCGGAGGCTTGCTGTAGACGCTTTCTCAACGCGGCCCAGAGAGTGGGGAATGCAAGGGGGCGTCCATAGCACTCGCTTAGCGCTCACAGCAGCGCTCCCCGGTCTCGCACTTGGAGCCGCGGCCCGAAGTGTGCCCAGGGCCGGCGGCCCGTCTGGCTCAGGGGCTGCGCTGCGTACTGTACACGAGCCGCGAGCCACCAGGCCCCCTTTCTGCCCCCTCCTCGCCCAGACCCACGGTGTCCACGCGTCCCCATTGGGGGGCGCCGCTGTAGCCCTAAGTTTACTCGCCGAGGCCCATCTTCTGTCCTTCCCTCCCAGGCCCGAAGTCCCCGGGCTGCAGTGAGGACCCGCGATCCCTCGGCTTCCTGCAGACGCCTTGGCGCACGCTCCCACCACTCCCTCCCCCCGCGCTCGGGTTACAGGTTAATGAAATGCTCGTTTTCCTCAGTCATTTGTTTTGTTTTCCTGCAAAGTTCTGATAAGTAGCTAACCAACGAAGCTTGTAATTACAATCTTACAGAAACCGGGCCGATCTGTATATAAATCTCACCATCCAATTACAAGATGTAATAATTTTGCACTCAAGCTGGTAATGAGGTCTAATACTCGTGCATGCGATAATCCCCTCTGGATGCTGGCTTGATCAGATGTTGGCTTTGTAATTAGACGGGCAGAAAATCATTATTTCATGTTCAAATAGAAAATGAGGTTGGTGGGAAGTTAATTTCTCTCCGCTCTGTGAAGCGTAGACAAGAATTTAATGATTTAATTACAGTTGTAAGCCCTTTCCATGAGACTTAAATTGAGCTGAGAATATTTTTTTCTTTCTCTCTCTCTCTCCTCTCTCTCTCTCTCTCTCTCTTCTGCGTTCTCTCTCTCTGCTATTAGCAGCCGCGTGGACGCCCGAGTGCGTGTCCTGGTGTCCGCACCGGGAGGGGTTGGTGTCTGACCAGGAATCCGGACCCCGAGTATCCCAGCAGGCGCGGGGCCGCGGCCTCCAGGGCCGCCCCAGAACGGACTGCCTCTCCCCACTAGCCGCCAGGGCCTCGGAGCCCCTCCTTGGGTCCAGAGAAGCGACGGAGAAACTTTGGGAGAAACTTTGCCAACTTCGCTCTCGGCGAGGGAGAGGCTGCGACGCGCGGGGTGGGCCCCCAGCCGGGCCTGGGCACCCGGAACGGAGCGGGCCCTCGCTCCCCCACTCCGCCCCTGCCCCTCCCCGACCTGGCCCGCGCCCTTGGGTCTCCAAGCAGCCGAGATGCGCAGCGCCCGGAACTGCCAGGATCGGGAAACCTGGCCCTCAGCGCGACTGATGTTTTGTTTTGTTTTTTTAACCTCTCCAGGATCATCCTTTTCCACCTGACTCGAGCAGTTTCACTCCCTCCCCCTCCTTTGTTTGTCTCTATCCGTCTGTCTTTCCCACTCTCTATATATTCGATTTCTAGGTCATTGCTTTTTCTTCTCTTTCTTCAATCCCCTCATTCGCCGTTTTCTTTTTTCCTCTGGACCACTTTTCAGTCCACTTTCCTCAATTTTGCTCCCTCCCTCTTCCCTTATTTATGGCTTTCCCCCCTCTCTCTGACTCTGCATCTCTTTCC